CATTACTTCCAGGTATACGATCTATGATGAACATCTCATAGACATAGCTGAAGAGTTATTTACAGAGCATATTTTACGTTTACCACGTGTTATTCATTCTGGAAGTGAAGAAGAAAAATTCTTTGCATATTTTCAGCTTAAGAGTTCCATGTATATCCTTCGTACAATGAACCGCTTGCAGATAACCTTCTCAAATGAAGACATGATCGAACAATTATTGGTTATTTTATTAACATCAGTTGAACAAGATACAAATAACAAACTGGTGGAAATTAACATAGATATTAACGACCAAAATGACGGAAAGATCATTGATACTATATTTTTGTGTTACAAAAATACTCCATGGAAAAAATTCAAACATGTTCGAGATGATGAAACTATTCAGTGTATTCATTCGATTTGTGAATACTTAACCAAAATTCGGCAGGTGCATGCATTTGTTCTTAAATTTTTATTCCGAATACTCTCAAAAAACTTAAGTAATTCAAATGAAGTTTTAATAATCATACAAATGCTTCTTTCGAATCCATGTGAAGAAAATTCATATGAGAACCTTCATTGTTCAATTTTGGAAAGTTTATTATGTGAATACCGTTGGAAACTGGTATGTGATATATTTGAAGATATTGACTATGGAACAGAACAAATACACTACGTTGGAGATGGTGAAGAAATTGTGAATCATAAAATTTCGTTGAATGAAATTAAAAACAATATTTTACATACATGTTTGGTGATAGAAACCGTTGGTTGCTATGCAAAATATATGCAACAAAATTATCGCCAAGTTCATTTACTGAAATCACTACATTTGATATCAGAAAAACTAGCAAGCAAACAATACATGATTCGTGCATCTGCTTTGGTCGCCATGGAGAATATGCGATCAGCCTACAAATTTAATACAGTTTCAGATCTTATGCAACGTAATACCGACTACTTAATTCATTCAATTAACAAATCCTTAGTTAAACCAAGCAAAATAAATGAAGCACTACACATATTGGAAAGTACTCTTAACTATAACTTCGAAGATGCTCAAACTCACCTTGAAAATATCGTTCCTACTATAATAGTCGAAGGTTCTAAAACGAGTCATTTCAGAAATTCTTTAGCGTTTATGCAATTATTCAAATTAATGATATCAACTATTCAAAATTTAATTTTTGAAATAACGAAAAACATGTCGGATGCTGAACTAAATGATCGTTCGTGCAATATTAAGTCATCGAAAAATCATTTCGAAGCATGGTTACACTCTTTGAATGCAGAAAGAGTTTTTATACCATATTCTAATAAAAATATACATTCAACATCAAAAGAACATTGCAAAATTACTACTTTAGTTAGCATTGCTGCAAATATACTCAAGCAAGCGATTCCAAGTTTATCATCTACAAATATGCAGCTAAAGATGATCACATTGGAGTGCATAAGCATTGGGTTAGATAAATTTCAACTTAGATTTATGTTTTTATTATTTAACTTAATATAGTTTAAATTTATACTGTTTGAATTTTTTATATTAATTTTCTCCGTAGCTTGGACATAATTAAAGAAAATGAGAATGAATTGTTACCTCTTGTTCATCTATTATGGGAACCTATAGTGGTAAAAAATTTCTATTCCGTTTGAAAATTACTATTACATTACTGAAGAACTACTACTCAATTAATTTTAATTTTATTCAAACCCAGGAACCAATAGTTCAGAAAAGCTGTAATAAATCTCTGCGACGATACACTATTCAATTGGCAACCAAGTTAATAATTTATTCTAAAAACTTTGCAACTAGCCGTTCTTTCAGGTGAAATTTAATTTTAACACATAGGAATTATATTTTAAACTCCTTTTCTTATTTACATTTGGTCCTTTTCAGCCAATTTTTCCCACATATCAAACAGTATTTCTATGACTTTTCAAAGCATTCTTTGGAAGAGTAGGTTTTCAAGAATTTTATTTATTTTATCCACTACGTTTTATCGAGAAATATTAAATTTCAGATATTCACTGGACTTTAAAACCTTAAAAGACTTACTTCTCGAAATGCCAAATATGTTATTGGTTCTGGATTTTGAAGAGCGTGAACTAGAGCACATACTTAATTCCATTCTCTCATTGGAAGCAAAATCGTCATCCTTACTGAAAGAAATACTGTTTTTTCTAACGGAATTATCCACATTTGATATAAATTTAAGTAAAATGTATCAAGCACTTTTTGCTTGCAGCGAGTGAGCAATACTTTTCCACGTCAGTGTGCATTCATATATAATAAAGACTTATATTTAACCCTCCTAGGTATAGAGGCGGTTTTGAAAAAATTGAATAAAAATCTAAGTAAATTAAAAAAAAAAATTTATAATTCATGTACATTAGGGTGTTTCCCATATCTGTAAATAAAAAAATGGTATTTATTAATTAAAAGTAGGCAAAATTCTATGGTAGTTAATGGCATTTATACAACGAAGCGATTGATGGTAGCACTTCCCGAAGCGAAAAACAATTGTCACGTCTGAATATATAAATGCAATCGAATAATGAAAAATACTCACAGAAAAACAGAGCCTTGGTAGTACTTCCTCGAAATGCTGAGACACAACAGTCAGTCTCAGTTAGTGTAACAAAATTACAATATTAATTTTTAATTAATTTTCGAGTTAAAATGGTGATTGGTTATGCTTAAGGCTGTTGATTATTTTGAACTGCTTGTTGTCGACGTGGTCTCTGCAATGTGAGCGGGATATCCAGTCCAAACAGGTTACAATGTCCTATAAAAAAATACAAATGTCATTTAACACAGACATAACACATCTATAATATGCAAATGTCCATTTCTTATATACATACCTTTGATGAGAATGCATTTGGAGGCCACGATATCACGATCCCAAGTTGTCTGATGCACAATCATTGGTTGTTGCTTGTCATCGATTTCCGTCACACATTCATCATCGACTGCACACGGTTGTTGAGCGACCTCTCCATCGATTTCCGCTGCATTTTCATCATCAACTGCATGTGGTTGTTGATCGACTTTGACGTCAGCATATTCCAATACACCACTCACTGCGTTTACTTGCCATTTTTTTGGATACACGGCCACCTTAGACAGTAAACGATCAGCTATAATGTCGAAATCATGCTCAGTCATTTCACCTCGAGCCAGAAATACCGCCAAACTCTCTTCAATATAAACTTTGTTATACTTTAAACGCCGTTTGCTGAGCTTTGCCACGATTTTCGATGGTAAAAAGTTAGCCATGATTGAATTTGGCACCGGTGCACAATTTTCACAAACTTTGAAACGGTTGCTTTTGGTGTTTGGATCGAATCGTCCGCCACATTTTGCGCATGTCTGTGATGTAAAATACTCATCGACTTTGCGCACGACACAATTGCCACGTTTTCGAAAACCTTTCAAAAGTTTGCGTGTACCGGGACAGCGCACATGCTTCTTAATGCGTATTGGCGAATTTGGTGACATGTCGGCGTTGCCCAAATGAATCAAAGCTGCTTGATGATTAACCAAAGTGCCGCAAAGTTTATCTATAGTACTATTGGACTCAACATACTTGTCAAACTTCAAGCGCGCATATTTTGGTGTAGTGTACACGTCCATTCCTTTCTTGAGCATTTTTATCCGATGGCAAATGTAATCAGTCCAAAGTGTACCAAGCGGTGATGGCATTCGCTGGTACAACTGTCGATTGTTTCGATCATTTTGCTCATCCAAAGTGAACTGCTTCGTCCAGCGCTTGGCCTTTTTGTCGCGCATTTTATATTTCGTGAGCCAATGGTACTTTTTACTAGATGTTTTCAAGTTGACCTGAAATTAAAATTAAAAAAAAAATCAATTGAAAATTTTGTTTGTTTGCTTCGTTCGCGTAACATATAACTCTCGATTTTCTCGAAAAAACTTCAAACTTCATGCGTTTCATATTTCTTTTTCGCTTCTGGAAGTGCCATTGTCAATCGCTTTGTTATATGAATGCCATTAAATAATATAGAATTATGTGTTCTTTGAATTCAAAAGTACCATTTTCTCATTTAGAAACATCGGAAACACCCTATTGTACATGTTTTGCTCCTGGAAATCGAGCAGTGGTCATTTGAAATTGACGCCATATTTCATATTGCATTTAAAACACCTCATGCCAATGCGGGCATATTATTTCTGGTGTTTTGCGCGTCAATAGCGCTTTGCGTTTATACATTCTGCGCTTTATTTCGATTTACGATGTTGTCCTTCCCGTTTTAAAATACAATTGTATTCTGCAGTAAATGTGTTCAGTTTGCAAGTCGCCGTTTTTTTCCCACATCAATAAAACGTTGACATCCTATCCACTCATTCGGCGTTACATCCGAATGCTTTTTCTCTTTCGAAACTAATAACTTTTCGACATCGTCGCTCATACGCACACACACTCTATTCACGACATGTTGCATACGCTACCATATTTCATTATTTCTTTCACTAGCCGATAGTGTTGTTCTTTTCTTATTGGCACATGCATTTTGGATTGAAGCACGATTCTCTAAATGGTGTGTCATATTGCCCTCATGAATTTCTTCGTATCAGACGAAATGTCTTTACAAAATGTTTGCTAAAACATTTATCAACGTGTACATTTCGTTACTTCACACACAAATTAATTTCAAGCGATCCTGTCATACAAACGTTAACGGCTGCAACGGAAAAAAATGGTTTATATACATATTGTATGCGTGTATTGAGCGCAAGAGAATGATATGTTGTATGGGAGCTTTGCAAAAAGAAAGGTATACCATTTAACGAACCGACCGACCATTAAGTTACCATTAAGTATGACCGAAGCTTAATAACAACGATACAGGACACGAGAATATGCCACAAAAATGACCCCCCCAAAAAATAAAAGCACAGATGAGCATGCGTAATAACAAAGTTCTGTATTCCACTTCAACCATCGGTTGATTATATTAACACGATGGAAAATATAAAAAATGGAAATCATCTTACATTTAGAAGACGGACTTTCTTCCCTTCGATCGACTCCAAATTCCCCCCATTTTTGCAATGAATTGCTTCTTATATATATCTATATCCTTTTTTAACCATTATAGGTGCAATCTATTGAAAATTGTATATGACGAAACCTTTCAATATTCTTGTCATTTACCAACAAAAAAATAGAAGTAAGTTTTCTTTCGATCGAAGAAAAAAAAATGTATACAAAAGTTTTCCCAAAACTTGAAGTTCCCAAGATTTTCCTTAATACTCACAGCCATTCAGAGAAGTATCGATGCAACATTGTTTGTGAATTGTGAATGAACATGAGGGAGAAAGAGTTGTTCGAACGGCAAAAGTTTGAGCCAGTTTTGTCAGTAATTTCCTTTGGAAACTAACGTGTTAACACACAAATTATGTACAATATGCCACAATTTCTCATACAGTGTAGTGGGGAGCGAGAGAAAAACGAATGAGCCACGAGTATCTATAGTGTTTGGCCAAATGTTCATATGTACAACGAATTGTGTAACATTCTCTCTTTCTCTCGTTCGTGTTAAGGATTTATCTCATTTAATTGTATTTATTTCATTCTTTCTCTCACTAATCCCAATCATTTTCTCTCATATTGTTGACAGTTGGGCCAGAAATATAAAATGTGAATACGTACTTTGTTTTTGTAACTCTCTGGAAAGACGTCGCGGGAAAAAATGTGGTACACCAACAAATCTTTAAACAGCCTTATACCGTTCACGGAGAGATTTCTGCAGAATATTAAGATTTGGTTTTCACAGTGTTGGTCTTGGCATTAACAGTACTTATTTCATCTCTTTTTTTACATTTCAAAATTGGTTTGGTTGTCCGCAATTCACTTGGAGCAGCTGACGAAAAAAGCCTTCATCACTTTTCGCGAAAACGCAAAAAACATTCGAGCACATTTATTATTTTTATTATTTTCATTGAAACGCATTCATTTCATCATACATTGTGTGAGAACGGAGCATTTGCAGTGACAAGAAAAAAGGAAGGAAATAAATGGCCTCGACACAAAGGACAGAAAACCATCGAGAGTTTTGTATTCTGTGAATTGTGTATATGGCGTCAATGTGTTTTCAGATAAACTAAAGGAGATAGAGGGAGAGTGAGAAAAAAACAAAGAATTTACATAAGGTTCTATGGTTGGTGCTATGTAGCAGATTATTTGATTCACGCGAGAATAGATTCCGTGTAAATTTTGCCTTTTTTTTGGAACGTAAAATCTGCCGAAATGTGAATGAACGGCAACGGTTTAACGTGTTGGCTGTAAAGCATATATATCTAATGCATCTGATTTCATCCATTCTCACATATAAGACGTGTATGTGCCGACGAATACGACGAATCATTACCGTTAAGGAGATTTTATCATCATTTCACCACCGGCAATGAGACTGAACAACAAGTTAAAACCTTAAAAATAAAATTAAATTGATGTGAAAGGGATTCCGTCCCACTAAATAAATGCAGAATACTTTCTACGTATGAGATTATGGAAACAATCATTGCACTCTCATGTCTCTATAATAAATTTGCGAAAATGTTGAAAGCTATTTCTCACATCCATGTTGGAGTGA